TTTTTGCTCATCATATTCGTATAGACAGTCCAAAACATTTCAAAACATATCCGCACAATGCGCATGCTCTGTTGGACATAAATAGTTGTCGCATGAGCGTAAGCTGGTGAATGCACTTTCCACTAAAAAAATTACGTTGAACGCTGGATTTTAAATGAAAACCGTTTCAAAATAGTCTGATGATAGTTTGATTGTCTGACAATCCTGTTGGTAGTCGTRCCTCTCTTACTAATACTTTATTCCAAAATCAAAGCGAAGTATATTTTATTTCCTTGTGCTAGAAAGATCTTAGTTCCCCACTCTGTGCTGCTATCTCTATTTCTATTCCTGTACCGCCATTTTGGCGTTTTCCAGTGAGCTACAAGGCGCCAAACGTACGTTGCTCCCGCTCAAAAACAATCTGAAAGATTGCCTAATCCTTTCTTGTCACTTCACGAAGACATCTTTTAGCATATAACGACCCAGTATAATAATTAGCGTGTGATTGTTATCATTTAATCGCTTGATATATCTTCGAAATAGTCTGACATTTGAATTTTTGACCTCGGAATTGTAAACTATGAAAGTGGGACGGAAGGATATTCATATGGATTGCCATTATATGTTTTTTTGTGAGAAATAACTCTGAACTCCTTTCAGTATGGGTTCGGGTACGAGCAATCAAACGTAAATCTTCGGTAGATTTGGCTCTCTTATTCAAGTTCCTGTGGATTGTTTCATATTAATCTTTCCTTTCTAAATCCATGGCTATTTCTCTCTTTTGCTCTTCAACGCCTGAATTCAATTCTACCAATTCACACACACACACAAAAACTACAGATAAAAAGCTGCCTTGTTAATTTGTACAAACGTGGACGGACGATAAAGAACAGTTCTAATTTCTTTAATAGAAAAATTGAGACTGAATTCACAGGTAATTTGCCATTAAAAAGTTGTCTTGTCTAGTAATCAAAAAAGTGAATTTTCTAAATTGAACTCTCATTAATTATTCAACTGTTCTTGTTTTTGCTTTACTTTTGATCTTAAATACAATGCCTTATTCATATTTTTCCGGAGTTTGACTTCCAATCTATAACACATTTTCAATCTGGGTCCATTGCCATACCGGATGATCTTCAACTTCCACCAAAATATACAATTGATTGGTGTTTTTAAACTCGTTTCATTGAACGATTAAAATTTATTTATTATCACCGTTAAAAAGGAAAATTGTGGTTCAAAGAAGTAACGACAAAGACTAAGATCCGAGGCGATATGCTCGCCAAATAAATTGAGACTTCAATTAGCGAAATTAATGAAAATTAAGCTACTATTTCGAGGTTGAAAGCAAAGCAAAGATTCGGGAGTGTTGGGCGGTCTAAAGTTTTTTTCTCCRTATCTTCGATATATGTTATGTTTGTAATTCCAATAGGTCACCCTTGAAGGCATTTAATTACGAGTTAATCAGAGCTTAAGAACATGAAGGAGAAGAATCATTTGAAGAAATTTTGCATGCGCAATATTGATATCCCAGATAGAATAAAATGGCGGAATAATGCGACATAAACTCGCAATACACTTCTTTACTCTAAAATTAACACCGACTCGTCAGTTAAATTATAAAAATATTTTACTGTGCGTTATAGACTGTAATAACCTTTGCCTTGGAATAGTTCAAGAAATTATTGTTTAGAAAAAGATATACGATTAATAGGAAGCATAAATAGCAATTAGAAAAACCCATAACATTTTTGTTTGTTTACATGAATGAAATCACTCACTTCTGTTTATATTTTATTATCTTTAACGTCGTTTTAACTTACATCAATGCCTTTTTAGTGTTTCACTCTTCACTTTAATTATTCATTGAGATTTTGGGGTGAATTTCCTTCACCATGTTTGTTCATTTGTACTGAAGACAATGCATATTTATATCAAGTAATTACTTAAAATGTTTTTTGTTCCGTCTATTGTTTTTGTATGTTTTTTTCTTTTCTTTTGATTAGCATTTTCTACTTACCTATTGGTTTCACATTTTATTTTCTATATTTTATCTTTTTTACGCTATTTCATCTTTTTCATAATCTAGCAGCTCTTCCGAAAGTCTGAGTATGTTATGCAATTCTAGTTTTGCACATAGTTCATTTTTGATGACTGAACAAACACTCAAATATCAAGTCAGAATCAAAAATATGTCGACAGTCTAATCAAATTACTAGAGAAGTTTCATTTCTGAGTAATCAGATTACCCGTTGTATCAACGCTTAAGGCCTGACGTTAATTCCAATGTAAATAATGGATGCCAATGATTTGATCATGTCTTCGATTTGATGATGCATTCGATTTGATCAAGTCTTCCTTATTACCGAACACACTCATTTATGTCAGTGGTCTTTATGTTTTTATTATTAAGACTTAAGGTTTATAGTTGTCAGTATAGGGCYAGTGTGAAGTAGAATAACCGGAGGGTGTATGTTAAGATGCTGATATTGACGTGCATAAAGCTCTCTTGCGTGTGGGAGGTGAGCGACATGAAAAATACGTATAAAAAATGCCAAAAATAATAGCCTAAAAATCAGCCTAAAAATCCTTAAAATAAAATAGAACCGCTGGTGTCGGTCTTAAATGACCAGGGTCATTTTGAACATCTGTGTTATTTGATTTATATAGATAAAATATTCAACTTTTTTATGTAAAGAAATCATTACTACGTGAGATGCAAACAAAGCAATATGCATGTCATAGTTTGAAGGAATTAAAAATGAGTAATAGAAAGGAAGGAGTAAAAAAATGCTTTCCATACATTTTTACACGCACGGGAACAAAGGCTTGATCTTTTCCTTCTGATTGGTGCTCTTAAAGATGAAGCATTTTCAGTCTATTGACGAGTTACCACTTTTATGAGATTCTCAACGCTTTTAAATGATACATTGTGGGAAAACGATTCCCTAGGGAGTGATATTCGCTACTTTATGAGAGTTGATTTCTGTATTGCGCATGTTTTTTTTTTTGTTTTCTTGTTTTTTGTTTTTTGTTTTTACCTGGAATTAGGCAGTGATTTCATGGTAGCGTTATCGTTTTTAGTGGTAAATTTTTCATTTCAAATTCCGTTTTGTGTACCTTTTGAAACTGCGTTTTATATAGAATATATAAAACCAGACATGTTTGCAGTGGGGGAGGGGGTGAGACGGAAGAATATTACAGCTTTTAGCTTTAAACATAACAGCATATACATAATATGTGTCTGAAAATGCATGGTTTTTATAAAGTGTGATATGATCTATGAATAGTGATGAGTACGTATGAATACAGAAGACATGCAATCCGGCAAATTTTAAAGCACTATTTATTAAGAACATTTAGTCTATCCATATCCGCGGACTTCTTGAAAAAACTGGCTGCTTTATATGAGCAAATTTTTATAGTTTATTCATTTTTATTTTATTAAGAATAAATTCCTAGTAAAAGTGAATTCCAATCCTCGTTTCACTTAACTACATATGTAAACATGCCATAAAAGTATTTACGTTTCAAATTAAAACGATTAACGCTTTGTATACATTGTGTATTTATGGAATATTGACGATAAGAATTTTTTTTATTTGAAAAACAGACTTTCCTCTACACTAGCATCAATTCTATCTTTAGATCCTATTTTATTAGACTCGCTAAAGTTTAATGACGCAACTACTGAGTCGATGGCAGTGACACCCCATAAAGATTAACCCACTAGAAAAGCCGTTTATAAATTTAGTCAGTACTGGCAGATGCAGTTTTGTTTTTTTGTTTTTCATAAAAAAAAGATCGTTTTCCATTAGGTATTTTGTCTTAGACTTCGTCAAAAAGGTTGAATCTTGTGAGCACGTAGCCAGAAAATAGTTATCTCAAGTTAACCTTTGTTTTGCTGTCTTAGAAAAGTCGATTTTCTTTAAGTTTTGTGTATACAACGTAATCAAAAATATTTTCCACGCTATTGTCAAGTTTTATGATATRATTTGATGCCATTATCCCTTCAAGACCTTGGTCACAAGCCTTCTTGAATGAAACATTTTTATCGAAGGGTTCTGATGTTTTGAAATGATATTTTGCCGGAGGGGCCTATAAGTTTTCTGTTGGTTGGTCAGGCTACTTGTGAATTATGGCACGGATCGCCTTTTATCTTTCTACCTCACACTTACTGATTGACCTCGTTATTTTGGAAGTTTTATACAGAAGTGATAACGGACGAAACACGCTTATACCCTTCGCCTTAATTGGTATTTCTTTTAACCTAATTGACGTAAAAGAAAGCAAGAATTAACAAAAAGAAGTGACCATTTAAAAGCATTTCAGTGACTCTCGCTGTCGGCCATTTTTAAAGCRTATTTTTTGGCTGGATTTCTTTTTTTTTCGGGACTAGGTTGATTATAGTTGATTGTAATTATTTGTATATTTTTCTTGTGATCTTCGTCTAGTACAGCTGGCCACAACTCTGTCCAACCAGCTGATTTAAAACAATTACCGTTTGTGATTGACAGGTGCGCCGTAAAGAAGCCATTAAAATGTTTTTGAGCTCTGACACGTGCGGGTCACAATTTCTGCCATTTTTGATTGGCTAATTTACCCTTCATCCTGTCGACCAATGAGAAACCGCGCGGATTCGTTTTTCCTTCAGTAAAATCTTTTGCTTTTTCGGCTTTTTTTCAAAGGCGCGAAAGAGTCAGCCGGCTGAGAGATAATCGATTCACAGTCCAATCGCTTTGCGACTTGGCTTCATCATTAAATATGCAAGACGAAAGATAGTATAAGGGAAGAAACTCTAGTTATCTTGACATTATATTATCAATTTCCCATACTAATATGAATAAAAACTTGTCTAACACTCATGTGTTCCTCACTTCGTTATTAACTTCAAAGAATCCGTGTGTTTTCATCATTTGAATCATTTCTTGAAAGTCAGTGAAAAGTTAAGTGTTGTTTTGCAAGACATTTTTGCTTGCCACTGTAAATACAACACCCGTTTTGTTCATCTTTCATCATTTGTTTTAGCAAATACATCATGATAATGCACAAGTTTAAATATTTTCCTTGGAGATGACCTAAACACTGAGGAATTCTTCCCAAACAGATTTAACAAATCACATTAAGCACAAATTGTTAGCGAATCGGACCTTTCCGTTAATTGTCTAACGGCTCCACAACAGTGATCACCCAATACCACATCAATGGCAGATAGTCAACCAATCAGAAGGCAGCTCTATATAAGGCTTTGTGACATTTGCTAGAATAAAATAAAATTCACAGTTTTAAACTCTAGCCTGGAAGATAGCCCCTTAATTCGACAAGATTCGTGTCCCTGTGAATTGGACCAGCTACAATGAGCGACTCGGAGTACTCCTCGATTGAAGACAAAAACGACAAGAAATCAAATGGTATATGCATTTTGTTTACCAAAAAGTTATCCCTTAAAAGTTCTAGAAGATCTTGGAGTTGACATTTATTACTTTAAATAGGTCGTCTCCTGGACATTCCGTGTAAAGTATGTGGTGATCGATCCTCTGGGAAGCACTATGGTATTTACGCTTGCGATGGCTGTAGTGGATTCTTTAAGCGAAGCATMCGAAGAAATCGCAGCTACACTTGTCGCGCGACGAACGGCAAGGGAAATTGTCCGGTCGACAAGATTCACAGAAACCAGTGCCGCTCATGTCGGCTTAAGAAGTGTTTCGATGTCAGTATGAATAAAGACGGTAAGTTTATTGAAATAACAGTCAGTATAAGACTTTAAATAGACTTGATTATTGACTTTATTCATTGACAAAAATCATCAACTCTTGTTCAAATTTAACTTCCACAAGTCAACATTYTTAGAACTGAGCAAACATTACTTTAACAAAACAGAAGTTATACAGTTGTATTCTAAATCTTATTTAGAAATGAACTTAGAARGGGGATTTGCATGAGACTCAACAGTGTTTTTACKTTGGYCTAATTAGCTCAAACCGTTTTTGTTCGAGTAAATTTGTTTTTAATTCGTCCAAAAAGGTATAAACACTATTGTGAGGGATATCGTTGTAAACCCGTCAAATTATTTCATCGTTTATTTACCGCGTTTGTTGATCCACCTGGGGGTAAATTTATAAAACACGAAGTCTCGATTACAAAATCACATTTTTGATGAACATTTCGACATGTCAAAAGTTTTATCTTTCCCTGTGTCTTTGCAACAAGACACCGAGGGGCCCCAGATCGGAGCTTTTATGGACCATAGAGTAGCTATCACATATATCTYGTCTATCAGAGAAAATCGCTCATTTTCCCCGGTTGATAATACGTGGATTAACTCCAGTAAACCTTTAAAGAAAAGGTGTCCCAATTACTGTATGCTACAACAACAAAGATATCGGAAAGGTATCCCCAACCTTGAAGGCAATCAGTTAAGAAAACGAATCTTAAAAYATAACATATTAGTACATAAAATGTCCCTGAGTTCAAAAGTGACACTGAGCCGGCGTCGCGAATGATAAATTTTTACTTAAAACTATAAAATTAATGCCTTCAGCGATACAAAATTACCTCAACATTAATTCCGATAAATTGCGTGGAAAAAAGTTAAGGCCCGCGCCGTTTTCTTTTAATACCGCCCTGATTCACAATGTAAACATCTTAGATTTCGACTTTCGTTAGGTCATTACAAGTCACCATGAATAGAGCCTCGAATTCTGATTGCAAATTATCGCAGATTTTCTTAGCGATGTCTAAAAGCCTTGGCGATCAAGAAAAGCTATATCTTCCACAGATGATAGGAGTTACGGAAGTTACCTTGCAATCAATAGCCTCAATGCCATACATCACTATTATTTCGTTGACGTTATCTTTGTCAAGAAAAACAGGACTTTTGCTAGGAAGCTTGACTCTATGGCTTTTTTTGAATGAAAAACGAGATTTCAACTCTAATTTTGACATTTTGTCTAGGTTGTGGTAATATAGGGAATAAAATGCTTTAAAAAGTGGATCATCAGTCTAGAACAGTTAATGGCCTTGAATGGCTAGAAGCGACTCATAAGCGAACTAAACTGCCCAAAATGGCTTAATAAAATAGACATATTATTTAAGATAAAAGGCTAAAAGTGAATTAAATAGATGCTTTTGTCTTCAGAAAGCATTGATTTAGAAACAAATTATAAGAACACCGGTCAAGGAAAAAGCTTAAAAGTCAAAAACCATAAAACTACCAAAAAACATTAAAAGCCTTGACGAGATTTCGGCTTTTTACAGACGGTAACACTATTCACTTCAAACGTCTTTCTTTGGAAATCTTAATTGTTTCCAAATTGTTAAAATGCATTAGTGAATATTCGTCTATTATATTTTCGTGTTCCTCCTTTGGGTAAAATGTCGGGCGGATACGGCTAGGTGTTGTCAAGAATTCAAATATACTGTTGTACGCTTAATTTTCGTTTTTTGTTCAGTATTTATGTTTTATCGGGAACACCTATACAGCGTCTTCATTACTGCATAGTGCTAAACTTGAACAAATTAGGGAAATTGTTCTGGCTCTTTAAGTCTTCCCGTTGACAATTTATAACCGAAATGCAGAGGATGTTACTCATCAAGGTCTTGTTTGGTGGTGTTTTTCTAAAGAATAGTACTCTCTCAAATGTCCCGATTTACCTGAAATTACATTGAATAATTCATCACAAAAGTCTCCCTGAGGCATTTTGAGCATTCTTTTGAAATCCTTGCCTCTTATTGTTATGTAGTCAGTTTATCTGAAACCACGGTTTCAAGGTGTAGATTTGAGGTTTGTACACAATTAACACTTCTTAGATCTCTGCTTTTACTTTTAATGCTTGTTCCCCATCAAAAAACTTACGCATACTTAGAAATACATGGTCAGTTGACCACATAATGTATCTAGTATATTGAATATTAAGAAAATGGATATATTTGAAAAAAAAGTTTTTAAGTCGTGAGAGTTCTCACCTTGTGAACTTGAAAGCCGGTTAATTTCGCAGAAACGTAGTATCKTATACTTCATTAACCACTGTAAAATATTCAACAAAATATGTATTTGTACCTCAGATTAAATAAAATATTTTGTAAAGATAGTATATTTATTCGCGCTCATTCGTGACAAGAAATTTCTACAGATATATTCCTAAGTATTTTTTCATATTTCTTAGGAATGTCAACAAATCAATTTATTGACGTTTCATTTTTCATTTGCAATTTCTGAAATTGTTTTGTAGCAATTAATGAGACGTTTTTCGTCATTTGCGACTTTTTTTGGCAAGATACGTACATAGTCCACCACTGATACAGTGTAGTGTCATTGAATCGTTTCGAAGAAAAATGCCGTTCCTAAGATTTCAAAGGATACTGTTAAATTCGCCTGGCGATCATCGAAGAAAAAAGAAAAAAAGATTCAAACTTAACTACAACTTCTTAGTTGAAATTATTCCTTGCATTGAAATAATACTGTACGAAAGAAAATTAAAGAGCGGTTTTTGATATGTGCGTAGAGCACGCAGTTAAAAAACATTTCCCAAATTACTAGGAAGGTTTTTGTTGCCATTTCCATATTATTAAATTCAGAAATTAAAGAATGACGGCACCATTTTCTGACCATTTCAGGCCGTCTGTTTTTATAGTGTTTTCTACAGCGGAAGTCAAATTCTTTGGAATTGGGTGTCGACAGCGCTGCCCCAAATGCCTCAAAGCTAATTCAACATGGAAACAGCGCGACTAGATCTCACTTGTATCAGAATTACAACAATATATGTATTTATTTAGTACTAAATTTGTTAAGGTTTAAATTCTTTTCGGAAGATCTACCGAAACAGAACCTTTGAATCAGGAATAATAAAACAACATTTATAGCCATCGGTGATAAATTCTTCTAAAGTAATAATGAAATTACGTTCTCCATACATGTACCATAAATGTAATTCCAAAGCGAGACATTTAAAACCAACAAACCAAATTATTATTTGCCTGAAGAATGCCGGAAGTGCACCTTGAGGCCTTTTATTAATGGTTTATTCTGCCGAAACAGATCTCAATACCTTGAAACAACAAAAAAACTCCCAGATGCGGGTTTTTKAGACAATATTGAATAGGCTTGTATAGTATTCGGCATTCAGATAAGATCCACAAGTATATGTTTTGAGAACTTTCATCCAATATATCTAACCACAGCTGCAGTCATAACGTCTTTCGGTTCTTTAACTAAGATATAGATATATCTTGGGGTGTCTCCCATGATGGTGCTATAGTTGATGTGGCCAGATGTGAACGACCACTCATCAATCTTTACCGTTATCTTTGTGAGATTTTTTTTTTTTCATGCTACAATGTAAAATGGAAAGTGGCTTGGAATTCGCGTAATTAGCAACCTGTTACATCGTCCGTAGACGCTCCTCGTCTCTTGATTTTAAAATAAGATAAATCAGTGTTATTTTTCTCCCCTAGCTTTAGAATACAAACAATGTTGTCGAGAGTTCTTCTTTAAAACATTGTGCTAATTGATCCAGTTYGGTTCAAGGTTCAGAAAAAACGCCGTGCTTTAAAGACTTCTTCTATAAATGCGATGCTATCAAATACGTTGAAAGAAACTCACAAATCTAATAAAAAATATCATTCAAGCRAAAATTTCCAATAATTACTTGTTTTAATAAACTAACCTCAGCTCAGTTTTATATATTTACATGAASTAGATTAAAATGGCGGAACTTATAACAATTATGATTAACTTTGCTTGAAAATTGCAAATCTAATTCAACAAATTAAGTAAATTCTGAGCTGGAATTTTCTAAAAACTTTTTACATTTTTGACTTAGCGTGAATAAAAGGTCCCAAAAACCACGTGCCCCTTGATGTAATTCCTTGGATCTATACAAAGAAAGTCAATGACTTAGATTTGGTTATTTGTACTGTACAGAAGTCCTTGGTGAACTTGATTCTGTCAAATTGAAACCGGATAGAAGACAAGTTCTTTGAGAAACTTTTATCATAACAATAAGAGAAAGTACACAGCAAATCCTTATCTGTAGAATCTATTAGGGCTCGCAAATAAATATGTTTCTGCATCGTGGGGCGTCCGAARTGACAAATACCTGTTCACAACAAAAGTAGGGAAACAGAGCAGAACGCGTGTATATTGTACTTTAAAAAGTTCTTAAAAGCTTACTAAAACGACGCGTGTAGGTAAAAGCCTGAATGGAATAAGACACCGTTGTATATGACTATTATAAAGAGGTATTAATAAGAACGAACTCAAAAAGTTTTCATTCAAGAAATTAACTGAAAGTTGTAGTGACAATGAAACGACTACAATTATTAACACTCCTCGTTTGATAGGGTGTTAATTATAGGTAATTGTCGCCCATCGCCGATAACATCTTCCCTTCAAGAACATACAGAAAAACCTTTCAGACCTAAGGAGAAGTTTACAAAAGAAAGAGSACAAACATGAGACGAAAAACGATGCAAATATAACCAATTACATCTTAGTGCACTGTTTCTAAGCTTGTGAAAATRRRGTATAATTAGAAAATAGTAAATTTGCCTTGTTTACACTACCTGGGGGCACTCCCGACACCTTAGAAGCATCTAATGGATCAGGTTATTGTGTTAGATGGACAATTTTATTAACACATTGTATAACCTTTTAAAACGGTTTAGAAAGATTCTGGGAGGGGAATTCGCGAGTTGCCGGTTTGGCCCGTTGTTCGGAAGTTTCTATAGTGTCATAATGTCTTTAGATAGAGACATCTTGATCTAGACTTATTAGTGAGGTTTCACTATTATATTAAGTATTTAGGTCCTGACCCCCGACAGAGCCCTTTGGAATAGCTCTATTTCAAACAGGTATCATGCTATTCTATTGTGATCTTTATCATTGAGCACAAGAAATCTCAGTCTCCTCCCTTGAATTGGAATTTCATCATGGAGATCTTAAAAGAGATGCCGGAATCTTACCACATGCTTTGATTGGAACAKYGACAAGAGAACTACAATAACTCGGTTCCAATCTCGATTCAACTTTGCACAAAGCTTGCTTTATAGAACTTTATTTGTTACTTTCTAGGTAAAATAAGTTATGAACTTTTGACTAAGTATCTCGTCAAATATTGGGTGACTTAGTCACGCAACAGCACTAGAAGTACTTGTAGCGCGTACTTAAAACTCCAATTGCTTTCAAAACATTAATGGACTAATCTACTTTAATGGGAGCTTGTGCGGTTTTCGGTTTCCCAGTAATTACAAATTACGAATTCTGTGAAAGATAGTAGCCACGATTGATAACTATCTCGCTAGATTTCTTCCAGAATTTGTGGTTGTTATGTTACCGTTTTGTGGCCGAATCATCACAGCGGCGCGCCCTCATGTAATGCCAAGTAAATAATAAAGTAGAGCTTTTGAAGATTCTTTTCGTCTTTGACACGAGGCTATTCCTTTGTCGTTTCCAAGTACAAAGCACTTTCTATTCAATCGCGTGCCTTCAGTCAAGTTTGGCACAAAAATATTTHGTTCATCTCGTGCTGGAATGATAAAAACATACTCTCCAACTCATGAAATAATAATTTGGTTTTCGACGAATAAAACACTTACTCTGTTTTCTTTATGTCAAGTAAATTCTATTGGTTTAAGCTTCTTTGTATGAAGTAAAAGAAAAGTAAAATTCCTTAATGTATCTGTGTATGCATATGAAAAATTCGCTTCCATATTTACACTTGTTCCCATGAAGAAAAACGCGTCTTCTCGAAATACCACAAAATTTTGAGTTCAGTAACTGCAACATAAAACATAATAGACATATATTTCTGTTTTTTCTGATTATAAAGCGAGCACTTTAATTGAGTTTTCCAACTACTATTTAATTATTTCTATATGTGTATGTATGTTAAGGAAGTAATTTCCAAAAACAGGTCGTCATGATAAACAGCGCTAAAAAGTTTCGAAYTGGCAGATTGTTTTCTTGATTTATGCGTGAATACTATAAATATATATATATAGGTAGAATGAAATTAAACAAAACACCAACTTGAAGCTATAATGTTTCTGTTCTATTGRACGTTTCGGCACTTCGGCCTTCTTCTGCAAACTCTCTCTCTCTATATATATATCCTAAGAGAATTTGCCTCTATAAGCCTATTTGCCTCTCTAAGCCTATTTGCCAACATAGAAACGTCTAGTAAGCAAAATATTGTGATTTTTAAGATTCTCTAAGTCAAAATACAGCACGAAGCATCGTTTTTCTTTTGGAAACATCCAACTTAAAAATTTTGTGAAAATAGTTTTACCCTACTTCAAGGTCAAGACTGTTTATCATAACCAACCGAGGGTTTATAATCATTTGATAAATTGGAGTAACTAGCGCGGATTGATTAACTCTATAGCAACTAAACCTAAAGGGGAAAAATAAGATAAAAAAATTATGTCCTGCAAATTAATTGAYCTTAAAATAGTTTTTATTGGCGTCTATTCCTTTGTTTTTGGTACAAATTTAGTGCTATTCTTTTATTTTGTTTTYAATCAGACGTTCTGATTTTATTGTCAGAAAACAAACGGTTTTCCTTTACCGAATGGCCAACGTCCAGCTGTACCTAAGGATGCGATAGGGTCGCTATTAATGATAACCATCCCGCTGCACTTGACCTTAGGGCAGGGCACTTGCAACATCACACAAGACCTTTATAACAAGTGTGTCAAGCTTTTTAAAAATCTTCAAAAACTCATACTAAAAGCGAAGATCGATCAAGAGGTCTATAAGACTGAGCTAATTTTAGACCCCATTACTTATTGGACGCCACGTGCGGGCATTGAAAGATTATTGAAAGTCGTGTTGTATATCATTGTCGATTTTTGGTAGGCGATTAAAGACCTAAAGGCCTAGTGTTCTTACGAACAAAAGGACATTGTCACAACCTAGTTGAAACTAACAGCTTTTTCTAAATCGCGCACAGATATTACCAAAGTAGAGCTAAATTATATCATTTCTTTACTAATTCTGTTATATCAGATTAAGTCGAGAATTTGCAATAACTATTATATATCTAACTTCTCTTGTAGAGTCATATCGTATCATTTCCTTACTAATACTGTTTATATCAAATTCAGGCGTTATTTGCTTACTAACTATAGCTTGCTAACTATTACATATAGAGTGTAGAGTCATGCAAAAAAAACACACACACACACAACGAAAACATGCCTCATAATAGTACTGTAGCTATACATATATGAAAAGACTTGTTTGTTGTTGTTGTTGTTTGTTGTTGTAGTTTTTTTTAATGAAATATTGTATGAAAGTGTTTGATAATTTAATTTTAAGAAAAACATRAATTTCTGTTTATTTATCAACAGTATAATCCATTCAATCTATGGATGATAAAGCGTTAATTTCCATTAAAAACTTAAAGAACTTTTTTTTGTTATATTCAGGTACCGTTCAAAGTGTTAATAATGATATTAATCGACTGTATTGTCATGGAATTGTGCTGCTATAGCATTTCGTTTCTTCATTTCAAAGCATACTAGTAAAATACAATCCTTCAAGTCGTACCATAGGCGTTTTGCTTTGTTCTTGATAATTCCTGTCGAGGATTTTAGGAGAACAACAAGAATTTGCGATTGCAAGGATTTGGCTAAGTACGAACAAGATGTATAAGGTGTTCCGCACTCTGATCGAAAAGAGCTTGAGATTTTATTTAYATACGTACACAGCCGAATATTGTCATGTCTGCGCACAGGTTTACAGTGCTAATTCCACTCTCCCGCCCAACCAATCTTGTTACTTGCTGGATGCAGTTTTGTTGCTAACAACGGACTATGGGGGGAGGGAACGGGATTGAACCAGAATTCTATCATACTATATACTTACTGCTAGTTAAGCCAAGTGGCAGCTAAAAAATCCTTCAATTCCTGTCTATTCTGGGCCTTTCTTTCCAAAGTATTCCATGATTGTGCATCCAATATCTTTCATCTCTGATTGTAACGTTCTTGCGCCATGTAGTTTTTCTGCCTCCGCCTTTTCATTTTTCCCTCTGGAGTCCAATGTAGAGCTATTCTGATATTTGCCTTCTTGTCCCTTCTGAGGGTATCACACTATGTAATGGTACATTAAACGGTTTGATTATTRTCTACTCGACCTTTATGCTTGTAATTTTAATTTAAAAATAGTCAAGCACACAGAGTGCGAATATGAAGTTTTCATATGTTAAAACTATTATATCATTGCTATACTGTATCATCCATCATCAATTCAAATAATGTATTTCTATGACACAGCTGTTCAGCATGAGCGCGGACCCAGAAGCTCCACCCTAAGAAAACAAAAGATGCTTAAGGAGGCACAAGAAAGACTGGAGCTGGTCAGCGTCACGCATGCTCAGCAAGGGCAAAGTGGGTTCATTAACACTCTTCTGGCGGCCGAACCACGTATCGATGCTTGTGGTGTCCCGTCGACGGATTTTGACCTTGGCCTTGATTACAAACCTATAGCGTTACAGACTGATCTCTCAGTCTCGATGTTTTATTCAAGCCCTGAATCTGTCTGTGAGGCTGCTGCTAAGCTATTGTTTATGTCGGTGAAATGGGCGAGGAATATCCCGTCTTTTGTCAGCCTTCCATTCAGAGACCAGGTAAGGTCACGTGATAAATAGAGGATATTACATGGGCGCGCGGARATACGGATTTTATCTTCGAGTGTTGAAAAGATCTCTCACGAGTGAGCGTAGCGAAAATAAGGAAGGGAAGAAATATTAAATAAGGAAGGAAAACAAGCAAGATGTAATTGTTAGCTAGATTGTATTCAATACCCGTCTTGCAATTTTTGCAGAGCAATTGCCTCGTCGCGCGACCATCGCCTAAAATTCGAACATTCCTGAAAATTGGCTGCAACTTCGCGATAATTTTCGATCGCCGTAACATTCGCAAAGCTGTTTACAGGTACGATTTTAKCCATTGCGCGATAGCTTGACGATAGCGGCGATTATCACTCTGCAAAAATCGCAAGTTTATACGGGCCTTAAGAAGCAGGTAATAATGTTTTGGCGTTTTGATTTTTTATCAAAAAAAGTTTAAAGCACGACAGAATAGCTGCAGTTTGTATTCAATGCTATCATACTACCCATCTAACATCGCATAACGTCATTAAAAGAAACGCTACTTAAATAGCACCCCTAAGAAGAAAGAGACTTCCATTTGACAACAAAATGCCCAAAAGTCTTTTTCATTTAACTCAAAAATAGCAATATCGATTCTAAATCACCTTTTTTTCCGAGAGAGGATCAATCAATTTAATTATGGCCAAGATGAGTTGTTTCTGAAATGCCACTAGTGAGACGAGAAACCTTGAAACGGTCATTATCGACGTGGAAGCGGGTTAAGATCAGCATGTCGTCCTTTGATTGCCAGACGGCAGACTTTTACACTTTAGATTAATAGCGATGTCTTTTGAGTGGTAAACATTCTTTTTTGATAAAAAATTAAGTAGATTTATTATATCTTTTTTTGTATTGAAGCGTCTTTTTTTATATATAGTATCTGATTTATTGAAGATTAAATCAATTGATGATAATGGATTGTATAAAATTAGAAATCGCTGTAGAAGGTCATTATCAAGCTGAAATGATACAACAAAAAGCACAGTCTAAATGAAAAATGGAATTTTACGCTGTGGAAAGAAACAAAAAAAGAATAAATTTGGCTTTCGTTGCATTAGAAGAAAGAAAATAGTGCACACATAATATCTTGTATTTATAATAACTGGTATAATGGAAGGAGAAAGGTACTAAGGACAAATTCATGGTTAGGTTTATGACAAAGCAAAAGGCTTAAACTAACAAACTTTAAGCAAATAACAAGCCGATCAACTTATAAGTATTTCAAGTGCCTATTCGTGGAACATTGTAACCAATATATTGATATTCGTGTACAGACAGTGCTTAGGAAATTCACCATGCACAATAACGCTMKTACCATGCCAGTCTTTCCGACCTTTTGGCTTAATGATCAACCATTGTAAACGCCAGTGCCCCCAGGAGCTCRTTTTATTGAAACTAAACTAATCTTGTGCAATATAATACTTAATCTTTTAGGTGATCTTGCTGGAAGAAAGCTGGCGGGAACTCTTTTTACTTGGAGCAAGCCAGTGGTCAATGCCATTAGAAATCGCGCCGATTCTCGCCGCAGCTGGCATGCATGTGGACAACACACCCCCAGAAAAGATTGTTGAYGTAATGGCTGTTGTGCGAACTTTACAGGAAGCAGTGAATAAATTCAAAGCCTTTGGAGTCGACTCGACAGAGTACGCATGTCTAAAAGCAATTGTCATGTTTAAACCAAGTAAGTATACATGTCAAGAAAATWTATTTGATAAATTGCTCATGAATTTGAGTTGTATATTGTCACACTATTGACGTCATAAAACATTTAAAAAATGGGCGCTCGTGCGCAACCACGTGGCACAATTTGYCAGTGACGTCAAACGTGTGACGTACRCCATGAAAAAAAAGCGCGAAGTTTGTTATTATACTTTTCAGTGTGAAAAATTGYCAAAAACATTACTTTATTTTATCTGAGCCCGCGCGAGAGACGCRGTCAGTACAGTGTGTRTGTATGYTATTATCTTAGTCATTAGCCAATCAGCGCGCGAGAATACACTCAAGTCTTAAAAAAGAACCGCTTTATTGCTTTAGAAATAAACTATATAATTGGTCAATAAACCTTATTTTCAATATGCCTACTGTTTCTCAAATGTATCGTTTTTAGTAAGAAACTACCGTGGTACTAAATGACCACATCACTTTGAGAATCCTTTGAGAATGCAGTTGAACATTTTGATATYATGAGGGAAATGTTCTTAATTCTGATTTAGCGAACTAGACATCCCAAAATTCATAAACCAAAATATAACAACCGCATTTCAGTCAGTTGTGACTTAATAGTCTCCTTCACGGTTAACTGCGCCATCTTGAAAGGTAGCCTTGCCTTTGCATCGAAGCGAGACAACCGTTGAGCGTGCAATGATAGATACCTGTGAATAATTGTCTGTAGGTGGGAAAGAAGGTTTCTATCATTGTACGCTCAACGSTTGTCTCGCTTCGATGCAAAGGCACGGCTACCTTTTAAGATGGCGCAGTTAACCGTTAAGGAGACTWTTAAGAGAATAGATGACACTAAAAAAAATCTCTCGTTTTTTTAGCATCTTGTGGACTAAAAGATCCTGAGCACATCGAAGCAACACAAGACCAAGCCCAGTTAATGCTTGGTGAATATATACGCAGTACTTATCCAAACCAAGTCGCGAGATTTGGGAGACTTCTACTCCTGYTGCCTGCACTACGTCGAGTCAGCGCCCTGGCAATCGAGGAGCTATTCTTTAAGAAAACAATCGGCTCCGTGCCAATTGAACGCTTACTAAGTGACATGTTTAAAAATGAATAATTTAATCTCAGTACGCAAGAAAGGAAATTATACTATTGGATTTTAATAGCCTCTAATAATAGTAGATCAGTCTGTTCTTAAAAGAGAGACTGTTTATGTATTAGARTCGTTTTCATTTTTCTGTGCAAATGATGAAATACTCCATTTTCGATTTCAAAGCAAACAACCGCTGCTTTATTTGACAGCAGATTCTCTTGCGCAAAGATCTTACCAATTAAACACAAAATAAAGCACGAGAAAATGTCGTTATTTCAATAGCCTTGAAAATTTGCATTTTCTCCGAGTTGAAACTGACCCTATATTCCCATGAGACCTAAGGTTTGAGCCTTCTGGGAATACAGGGCTAGCCTCAACTCGGGAAAATGTATTTTTTTTTAATTCGAAAATGGAGTATTAACTACTTCCTATGTCAAATAGATTGAACTACGAGTTGATAGTCAATTCCTGCATGTACGGCCTCATATTCATATCTTTACTGAATTTCAATTACCACAACCTAATATCTATTTCTTCCGGACCTGTTCCCAGTCTGACCTCAGCTGGTATAGCATCGGTAGTAACAATCCGAGGGAAATGGGTTCGAATCCCAAGGAGGTCGGAAATTAATTTTTCCGAATTTATATGCWAGAGTCTTTCGCACAGAATAACCTCCTTSTAATCACTGCAACTTTCAATCAKTTCTATTTCATGGACTATCAACTCGTAGTCCTTTCGACGCCTTTGTCTTTGTAATTAGCCTTACAATCAAAAACTAATATTTCATGTTCCAATGAAAACGACTCTGGCATTTTATGCGCTTTATTGAATAAACTTTACTTTGTCTGAAATTATACAACATAAAAGCTGAGATCAGAATTGTGCATGGCAAGTTACATTAGATATAGACATCCATTTTAAAAGTCGYTCAAAGAGAAGTCATTAAACCCGTGAAACAAAACTTGATTATTAAAGTGTGATGGTAAAATAGACTAAAACGGKGGGAACGAAAGGTCTACGGATCGAGATTTCCAAGGCATAGCATTTATTTTGAGCCAGGTAGCACCGCTCGGAACGGGTCTCATGATAGGTTGAGAAAACAATGGACAAACAATAGATAAGYCTTCCAACAATATAACARAACCTAAYCTAACAATAGTGGTGCTGTACTTAAGGAGCAATCAAAAAGCAGGTTTCAATTGGTACTGCATTACTGTTTATTTTAGATGGGTTGCAGCTAGATAAGGATGTATGCGTTTGGTAGTGTTATCCAATCCATTTGGTAGCGCTATACATCAATACAGGCAGTTTATACAGTAGGGGCGGGTTTTTTAAGGGGACTGGGAGGCACTAAAGTGGCGCGAACGATTTGCGGGAAATTTGCATGACGGATTAGTTTAGTGAACGTATCAAATAGAAATTCCCCACTAAAAATAGCGACATAATTAGTAAACTAGCTAATTAACTTGTTATTTTTTTAGTTTTAAGATTTATCCGGCACTGATACAATMTACTCTAATGCTACCCTTCGACATAGAAACTGCAAGGAACTAAAGTTTTGACAACTTGAAATCGAGTAAAAGTTCTAAATTTACCTTGTTTACAGCATAGTTTGTAGCGGGAAATGGTTAGAAAAGCCTTTTTTTTTTTCAAGAGTGACAGTGCAAATTTTTTTGTTTAGCTATTGTTTTAGCCATACTGGACACATTTGAATAAACAGAGCGAAAATTATTAAGGCAAACATGCAAAATAAGAGTTAAAAGACTTGACCTCTGTATTTCAAGTAAAATTGCACTTGTTGTYAGGTCATGGTTTGGAGTTGTATGTCCTCTTATTGACACACTCTTGACGTCAAAGAATCTTCAAAGCTCAAGTGGASCCACGAGCGCAGCGACATTTTTAGTCTAAATATTAATTGAGCACGCCCACGAGACGTGATGGTGTCAGCACAGAGTGGATGTCCTCTTATTGACACACTCTAATTAGCCAATCAGCGCGGGAGAATTTACAACTTTATTGAATTGTTCAAATCCCTTTGTTTTGTTTATGTTTTGTTTCTTGTTTGTTTGTTTTTTGTTGTTGTTTTTTTTTTGTTGTTGTTGTTGTTGTTGTTTTTTAAGTCAAATACCCGTGAAATGTATGTCACACTAATATACTTTCGTACGCTCTGACTGAATTGTGCTTTTTTATTTAACTTATCAAACTCAAGAGTGAAGTCATTTAATGCGTGGAGCAAGATTTGACTATTAAAGTGTGAAAGTCTAGTAGAGCAAACGCAGAAAAACCATGAAATAAAGCCAAACTAAATACTAACAAATAGCGGCTATTTAGAGACAAATTGTCAGTATTAATGAACGAAATGAAGATGAATCTACTTGGGACCATTATTAATTTATTTTTATTGCGTTCAGGTTCATTGATACTGATCACTAGTGGGCTATTGCAAATCCTTCGTTCTGATTGGCTACGCTACTCGGGGTCTATTTTCAATAGTCCTAGAATAGCGAAAAGSGAGAACTTTTTGCTTATTTTTAGCAATAAAAAACTTTTAGTTATTTATAYATTTCATTCATTTTTTGTCTAAYTAGTATGGTAATACTAAAACAATTAGATCTCTCGGGTTCGTGTACTACGAACTGATAGGAGCCCATTCGGCCTCATGTGCTATCAGCTCGTAGTCCACTCGCCCTCTAGATCTAATTGCTAAGTATTTAGGTTTTTTTTATTATTATTATTATTATTTAATGGTTTTCTCTGCGTTTACTCTAAACCTCAGAGCTTCAAGTGCTTTGTTAGTGCTTTTCTCGAAAACAAAAGCTGTCGTTTCACSTTAATCTCATAGTATACTTCGAATATACTCAAAACGTTTAGTACTTGCCAACATGAGGAAGGTGTTCACTAAGTAATAGGAGAATCTCTTGTTTTCGTTTCATAAAGCCCTAATATAAAGGATATTACATGKGCGCGTGRAGATRGGGATTTTATCTTTGAGTGCATGTTGAAAATATTTTCAACACGARAAGATAAAATTCGTATCTCCAACCAACCATGTAATATTCTGTTTATCATAAAATTATCAATGAAAGTAAATTATGTTTGAAAATAATTTTTATTTACCTCCAATGTATAGAGAAAACTCGAATGTGTTATTTTCACAAGTGAAAAGAACAACTTTACATATGGAGACATATAGGTATTTTATAGATAATTATATGATAAATAGTTTTTAGTTGCACTCTACTTCATGTCAAAACAGGGGCTACGATTTTAATGTTCGCGTGTCATTCTCGTAGGCGCCCTTTTTAAAAGAGCTGTAAACCTAACTATTAAAAGCACTTACGGCTTATAACCACYATAGAGCAAGATACAAAGGGATAAGTAGTCAAATTATCTTGAACAGGTGCATATGATATTAGCCAAATACGTTAAACACATGCTACTCATCAAAAAAATGTTGTCAAAAAGAATTGGTATAAAATGTATTTAAATGTGTTTTAGCTCTTCCACTCAGTCGCTTTATAGTAGTGACCAGGTATTTTGTCTATACTTTTATTAGAAAAAATAACTTCTTTAAAAAATAATCCGGTTTGAATAATATTGTGGGTGACTAGAAATCTAGACTTACTCAGAAAAAAATCCAATAATAAGACAGCGATGAATTCAACTGAATTATGCGAATGTCTGTGTTTTCGAAATTCAAATCTACGCATGCGCTTTTTTAGCACTAATTTTTAGCGCTTTTAGTATTTCCCCTTTTTTATAGGAATTTACTTTGATCTTTTTAGTTCTTTTAAAATTTACTATATATTTACAGAGCTTTTCTATACTTTTTTTATAGAATGGAATTAATTATTTTTTCAGTGCAATTAAAACCGTTTTAGCTATTTTCAATGGCTTCCTGACTCCAGCAATTTCGTTAAACATCCGCGCTTTTTGTTGGAACATCCGCTAGTTACGGTAATAAAGTCCATTCACTTTAACCACGACGAGTAAATGATGGCATTAAGTTGATCTTAATTGCTCACTACTGGGCGAGAGACTATGCAAACCTCATAAAAATCGCCTTAAACTTTCTCAGAGCCTTTCAATGAATTAAAATCTGACGTACAGGAAGAAAAATGAGYTCGCCTGTGTGTCTCATTTTTCGTCTAATGATGTAGCAACGTGAGTTGTCTTTTGTAGCAAATATACGACCGCATTGCTGGCATTTTACCGCAAATAATGGGGAAAGTTAACATTCATAAATGATTTTATACATGAAAATTGAAAAAAAGGAACATCTACTTTTTCAATGATTCAACTTTAATCCCATTTACCACCAAACGCATAAAAGTGTTCACTGGAAGGGCCAACTTGCGAATATTCCCTCAGTAGTCATAAACACAAGGGAATCATAGTGGCGGATCCAGGGGGGGTTCCATGGGTTCCTAGGAACCCCCTTCAAGCATAAAAATAAATAAATAAATAAATAAATAAATAAATAAAAAGATAAATAAAATAAAATGAAAACGCATAGTACAATGAATTTTTATTAAAATACATTCACGCTACATTTGCTACAGTTCGAGAGGCAGAGTAAAAAATTTCTTTTTAGGAAAATGCGAAAACAAAGTGGAACCCCCCTTTGAAAAATCCTGGATCCGCCACTGTAATCACAAAGAGGCGCCGTAAAGCTCTGTCATTTGTAGTGAAAAGACAGCAGTTTTTTGCAATTGAGTGAGCTGTGTGCAAGGCGACTCGCCTTGATTTTTCTTGTTTGACTACTGAGACGAAATTCACAAATCGACTATTACAATCTGTGACCGGGTAGAATTTTAAAATTGACTTTAGCTGACACACACGAAAGCAGGATAAAAAATATAAATAAATGAAATTTGTATTCATCTGAACAATGATATAAACTGTACTATTGGTGACATTCGTAAGGCGATAATCGACACTTTGCTATCATCGCGCAMCTAAAATCGTTACGTGTAAACAGCCCTGCGATTGTTGTGACGATGGAAAATCGCCGTGAAGTTGCARCCAATTTTCAAGCATGTTCGAAACTCAGGCAATGGTCGCGCGACGATCGCCACGAGAATCGCTCTGCAAAAATCGCAATTGTAAAAGAGTGGTTTTACCTTATTCGTGCTAATTTTTGCGAGACTTTAATTTCGCGATTTTCGCGATTTAAAAAAAATTACGAAATTAAAACCTCGCGAAAAATAGGATCCGGGAAAATTATACACGCGAAATTTAATAATCATTTCACTTTATATACAAATCTTCGATTATTGTTTAAGTAATCATTCAGTGAAAAAGGAATTTTAAGTCTGTCTGTCCGCCTGTTTTTCAATTTTCGCGAAATTAAATGCACTAAATTTATCCTTTTTTTCAAAATCGCGAAAATTTATGCTCGCGAAATATTTGTGTTTAAAATTCGCGAAATTAAGTGCTCGCGAAAATTAGTACGAATAAGGTAGTTTTGTTTATTTGCAACTTTAAGGTTTTATTGRAGTCAAATTTGCACGTGAAAATGCACTTAGATATATGGCGATTACTCTCACCTCTGATTGGTCGATAAACAATAAATCCTTGTCTAAAATATTTCAAGTTGGCCACAGCCTTCCTCTAATAGAGCGTTCCTGATTTATCTAGTGGGGTTGGTTAGATTTAAGATTTTTCATTTTTTCATTATTTTTTTTTTATGAAATATATATTGGATATAAATAATGGAAAACAATTGTTCTTAGAAACAAGAAGACCCTTCTATACTTCTGAMGGTGTTGGTCGACCCATCAGTGAGCGCACGAGGGGATTTGCAACACTAAAGTACACTCTTGCAGGGTCTGAATGGGAGGGTCTCGATGTCGATTGTCAGTTAAAATTTCAAGCATTTGTCGGTAGTCGGTTATTTAAAAGAAGTTGTTAAACGTTAAATTTGAATGCATCTACTACGTTGCGTTATATCAACAGAATGCCTTCTAAAGCGCCAACAATTGAATCCTTGAGTCTTGATTTGTCAATTGGATGCCCGCTTAAAGTCTTAGAGTGACCAATCAAAACTTCAAGAAGCCACTGATCCGAAGCAAAATTTATTTCGAGGAAAACTTCGAATGTAGTTGCTTGAAAAATACTAAAAACTTGTATTCAAGAAGCTAATGTCTTTTCATATTGTTTAAAAATATGAAAATATGTTCTTGTTGGTAGTCAGCAAATTTTGGTCAAATTTGTCGCTAGTCAGTTGTTATTTTGTCCATTTGTCGCTAGTCGGTTAACCCCATTCAGACCCTGGGTTTTCTTTTGTTTTGAACATTTATGATGTTAAACCTGCTCAATTAGAGGAGATAAGACAAAAAACCGTTCGCAATTTTTTTAGACCTTTATTCCAAAAAGATTAGGAGAAGAAGGTTTTTGTGACGTAGCATTGATTCATTCCTTTCACAGACAACATGGGGAAGAGCGCACTGTGCGCACTGATCACACTCGGAAGACGTGCGGTAACTAGGGGCAACTTAAGATTTTTGATGCCTATGTTTTCATACTTGCCCAAAACTGGGTCTGGTTCCTTCAATACTAAGGTAAACAAGTTTTTTTTCTTGTTTATAAGACGAAAAGTTTTTGTCTTTCATACGGTACGAACATCTTCACAATTAACCTCCATTTTGTCGTTTCTCCCAATCGTCACAGACATCCCGTGAAAACTGGAAAAAATCGCGCGCTGTAAAGGTTGTAAATTTGATGTATTTATGATGTAAGTGTCCAAAATGATGTAAATTTGATGTAAATCATTTACATCAAATTTACATCATTTTTGACTTTTTACATTTACATCAAATTTACATCATTTTTGACTTTTACNGATGCTTGTTCATTCTAAACTAACTAAAACAATGTTATGCCGAGCATTCGAGATCGTTGCAAGCCCGTAAGGAATGGGGGGGAGGGGAACTCCTATATATAGATTGACATGGATAGGGCATCGTAACTTTTGATAGGTAAAAGTCAGGGTTGAATCATGGACAGCGGAGCAGAGGGGACTCGGGGCTACAGCCCCCCAAATAATTTTTCCGACATTTTGAATTTTCTTAAATAAAGAAGCGAAGAGCCTCCTTATGAAATTGTATACCATATATATTCTATAAAAATTATTTAAAAACTGAGCGTGAACAATTAAAATTGAAGCTTTTTTGCGTCTTTGGGATATATTGATAATATCGCTGACCGTGTGCGGTAAAAAATGTTTTTGATAACGCCTCAAAACGCTGGAAATGACATTTCCGAAAGTTAAGATTTCAAAAATTTCCCAACCCCCCTACAGTGTCTGAATGGGGTTAACTGTTAACTGAGAAACAGCTAAAATAATAACTGTTAACTGAGAATTTCGGGTTTATTTAGCTGATAACTGATATTAACAAGATAACTGTTAGTTGATATTCCTCTGTTTTCACATGTTCTGCATGAAGGTGGACCTTGTTCCCAGGGCTTCTCTGCTGTTTTTTTTTTTTTCTTTTTCAAAATGGTGGACAGAGATCTCACTGGCATCGGCCGGTCACTTGACACCGACTCTCTGTGGGTGTTTAGTAATACCGCTGAATGCAGGCACCAAAAATGACACGACCCTGATGACGATTCATTCGCTTTGCATGTGCTACCACACACTCTGGCGGAGACCGCGGAGATGGAGGGGATGGGGGGCTGCAGCCCCCCAAGTTTTGCTTCCGAAAAATTAATAATAAATGAAATCAGCAAGAATAAAAAAAATTAGATGGTCAGAGGTCGACTATACGAAGGCATGTGATGACGGCATCAAGCTGGAAACTTTAAAGATTGCTTCAGATACTGAAGGGCGAGGGTCCTAGGGAATATTTTGATTGCATTCTTTCCGAAGTTAAGAAACTATCCAAAGCAGAAAAAAGCTTAGTTAGTGAGGCGGTGACCCTATGTAAGCTGTTGGCAGTCAATCCAGCAACCAGCGCTTCGTGCGAACGATCATATTTAGCAGTACGACGTCTGACTGGCTAAGATCAAATATGACAAAACAACGATTAAGCAATCTCA